TCTTGACTCACTTCCTGGTCAATGAATACAGTGTCACTTTGAGTGTCTAATAATGCGTAGACCAGTTTTTCTTTGTATGGGTCCACAGCAGATGACACCCACACTGGAACAATCATCGAGGTACTGGCATACTGTCCTTCTCTGGTAACATTAAGCGACATAGCAGTTGTGTCAGATGAATTGTTTTGTGTCACATTTTCATTTGTCCCTGGCTGTTCTCCTTTGGCATTGTTAACATAGTTCTCATCATGAAGACATGTGAGGTGCTTTCTCTTGCAGACATCACAGATGAGGCGACATCGACATTCCTTTGCACTGTGGCCAGATTTCAAGCAGCCGTAACACAGTCTGTTGTCTTTAACATATGTGCTGCAGTTCATCAGGGACCTTTTCATGAAGTCTGGACACTTGTGGAGTTGGTGTGTATCCTGGCACAGCATGCATGTTAATGATCTTGTATTTGTACCGTTTGAGGTTTGCTTGTCATTATTCACAGCTGTTTGAGTGTTAAAGACACTTGCTTTATTTCTTCTGATTTCCTTTGCATTCCCTTTGTCACTGCGTGTCTCAGATAAACGAAGAGCATGAATGGAAGTGACAGGGTTACAAGCAATCTCTGCTTCTGTTGACACAAAAGCAGCAAAAACACTGAAACTGGGAAAATCTTTACCTTCCATAAGAACCTTTGTTACATGGCGATTCCATCTGGCAGCTGTCCACTCAGGCACTTTTGGTATCAGTTTTTGATTTTCTTCACAGTCATTTAATATTTCTAGGCCTTTCACATGGGGCATAGCTTGCAAACATGCATTGAGAAAGTCTGCAAAGCTTCGGAGTCCTTCGGCATCTTTGGATTGTATTTTAGTCCAGCTTGCTAGGGTCTCTCTAAATGCTCTGAACAACAAATGCTTGACCATATCTCTGGTTGAGTTTTTTCCAAGCATCTTGGTATGCTTCTTCATCATTTCGGTAGAAGGTACCTTCAAGACATTTACGAGCTGAGCCACTAACGTATCTTTTAAGATAAAACAACTTGTCAGCAGACGAAATGCCTTTTCGTTCTACAAGTGACATGAAGGAGGTTTTCCATTCAATGAAATGGATTGGATCACCAGTGACCACTGTTGGCTCTGGCATAGGAAGTCTGTTCATTGCAATACTGTCCTGAACGGCTTTCGCTAGTTGAGTGACACTTGGGGGTATTGATAGCATGGCAGTGTTATTTGGAGGTGGTGCTGTCAGAGATACAGAATTTGGGCTCACCTGCTTACTCTCCGTTGGCTGAATATCATTCAACTGACTCATTTCTATGTTGTAAACATCCAATCTGGCTCTGGCTGCCTCAGTGTCCTTTCCACCCCTCAGACATTCCAGCTCAGACGTTTGTATTTCCAGTTCTTTCTTGTGTTGTTCCTCAAGTGTCCTTATCCTTTCCCTTTGTCTTTGTTCCTCTTGGAAAATGTGAAATTCAGCCTCTTTAGCAGCTAGCTCTGCAGCAGCCTCTGCATGTTTTGCTGCAATATATGAAGATGCAGAATGATGTGTTGTATTTGATTGTGCAGCAGTAGAACCATAAATGGAGAGTGCATAGTCTTGATTTAGTAGCTCGCATAGGTGACCCTTTTCTCATTCTGCATCAAAATCGCCATCGATGCCAGTCATTTTTTTTCATATATTATTTTAATGATGTCACTGGTCACTGCTTCACATGCATCCACCTTTCGCCGTAAGTCAGTTGCTGGAGCTATGAGATCTCTTATTTCAGTGTAGAGTTTCATAATGTCATCTTTAGCTTTCTCTAAAATGTCTGCAAGTGATGACATGTGTGCTTCAGTTACGTCAGACTTTAGCTCTTCTCTTGCTCTGCGAACTTGGATTTTGTGTTCATACAAACTGATTAGCCTTTTTGCTCCCTTGTTCTAGTTGATATGTGAGCATTTTTTTCTGTTTGTAATCTAATTCGTTCAGAGCGACGAGGTGCTTCTGTTATGTCCTGGCTTTCACTCATCAGACATCTTTCCTTGCGTTTTATTGTCTCCTTAATATCCAGAATTGTATTATCTGTTGTGTTTTCCAGAAAGCCTCTGTATTCCTGAATTTCCATTTGACTTTGAATTAGTCCATCTGCGTCTTTCGAGGCCGTAGATGAAGTCTGTGCATCCTCCTTATCCATTTTACCATTGTTTTTCTCCGTCCTTAGCTGTTCAATTTTCACTTTCTGCCCCCTGCTGTCCGTTGTGTGCAATTACCTTGTTTCTGTGAAGATCGAGTTGAGCAGCATGGCAGAGGAGGTGCAAGATGGTTTGAACGTTTATTTGGAGGTCAATCGTTTTATTTCACAAACCAACGTAAAAGCTAAAGAAAATAAAGGACAGAACCATAAATTAAAACCGTGTAGGACCACACTCAATTCTATGAAAAACTAAATCAATAGCTGGTTAGCTAGCTTATATATATCAAGTCAAATAATACTGTATTTTAAACATTTAAAATGTAAGACAAACCTTGTTGCCAGTGTTGACTGGAGATAAACAGCAAACTAGTGTCTTTTTCGTTGTTTTATCACGTTTGTGTAGTCCGTGTTGTCCTTATGTGTTGTGCTTTTTCTACCGCCGTTTTTTCCTATTTTCTTCTGTTCTTGTCTTTTCAAAATAAACTTCCATGCACACAGGAAATAAAACAAAAGTCCTAAACAATACATTGCACAAATAATCAGAAAAACATCCCTATACTTATCACAGCTTAAACAAAACAAAATATGTCTTTTACACAAGTTGTAGCAGTCATTTTCAACGATCACTGCATATCCAAAATGTTATTGTTCACTGGACCACAATGGCTCAGACCTATATAGTTTCAAGGCCACTGATCTTGGTACTGTCTTTGTTTTACTCTGCAGTTCTCTCTCTAGTATTTACTGCTTATATTCAAACAATCATCTTTTTTCATTGGTTAATGATTGGATGTTGTGATCTTTCTTATGCAGTTGCAGCAGGAGGACAAACAGGAATCCAAGGTAAAGGCAATTTTATTTATGATTATTATTCTGTTACTGGTATTAGCTGATCAGGATTTAAATGTATTTTCTCTGTCACAGGAGGCGGAGGGTTTGGTGGACAAATGCAGCCAGGAGTGTTCCATGGATACCCCCTCAAATCACCCCAAGTGCAGGGTATGATCTGGATTTAGGCTGTAATTGTGTTAATAAGAAGTTCTGTTCATATCATATATGTTCATAGTATCAGTTTGGACTTTGTCAATGCCGGAGTGTTTCGACAGCATCCAAACAGACATACTCACCTCTCTAAAAAGAGAATTCTGTCTGTGGACCTCATTTTGTTCTCTTGTCAGCTGTCTCGTGGCCCCAAAGTCAGAGCACTGTTTTGCAGAAATCCCCCCTGCAATACAACCTCAAGCGAGCACAGCATGCACCCAACTGGGGTTTGCGGAACACGCAAACTGCAAGGCCAGGCAGAGAAATTTGACACAATGTTAGCTGAACATGGAAAAGTGTGTGATGATTTAGAATCATTGACTATACTTTTAAGGGCTTTTTGCACAGAAGGGTATCTTGCATAATTTTTGGTACTTTTCTCTAGTGTTTATCACTGCACTCATGTAATCACAAATCACTGAATTGGAGTTTCTGCCTTAAAAGGGAGAAAGGCATTGAGGCATTGCCCAATGTAGTGTCATGGTTTTAAGTGCTATTAATTTGCCTCCTGTCTGCAGTGGTGCTGAACCTGTGCAGCCTGTTTTGCCTCTATCACTTACGTACATAGTCCATTTTCAAACATGGTATACCATGTTTAGCTAGAATACCATGTATCATCGGTTCAACTTCTTCAGACAGGGTGGTTGTGGCTCAGGAGGTAGAGTGAGTCATCTCCTAACTGGATAGCTGGTAGTTTGATTCACGGCTTTTCAAGACACTGAACCCCAGTGTGTGTGTGCGTGAATGAGCAAATAGTATGAAAGTGCTTTGAGTGTGCAATGCATAGAAAAGTGTTATACAAGTATAAGTCCATTTACTATGTCTAAATACAAAAACATGTGATCCACCTGAATCTTATTCCATGTGCCCTGAAAACGTATTTTAGACATTTGCAAGTATTTTGTTACATATGATCAGCTCTTTCTTTCTCTCTTCAGGTGGCTATGGTGCAAAACCTGGAGGAGCTAAACTTCCCTTTGGTACAAATAGTTTTTTATATTTTTGCAAAGACATATGATGGTATAACTGTGCCATCAGTACAAGTCCAGAAGTTAATGATGTGTCACATTACAATGTTTTAGGTTATGGGGGCTTTGGTCAAGGTGGAGTGAGACTTCCAGGGGGACAAGTTGGCCCTGGGGCAAGGCCTGGATATCCTCTTGGAACTGGTGAGTGTTGTGAATATACTGTTAAACTGTACTGTTAACCAATACAAATAGAGGTAGAAAGGTACAAAAAATGCTTAATGTACTTTTTCTTTCTGCAGGAGTGGGGCTTCTCTCACCTGCTCAAGCTAAAGCTGCTGCCAAATATGGTAGAGTAGCCTGCGCATTCATTGCCATTCATCGCTGTCTTTTACTATAAAAAAAAAGATACAAGTTGTGTAACATCAGGCTGAATTTATTTATATCTCACTAAAATCTATGCTTTCTGCTCCAGGTGTGGGTGGTGTTGGTGGCATTGGTGCACTGTATCCGGGGCAGGTGCCAGGAGGTAAAATATCTAGCAAAAGACAAGTTTGTGAATTTTTGGGCTTTTTGTGGCTAATGCTTGAAAAGACATGTTTGCTCAGCTTTGCATTGTCATTGTTCAGCTGTAGGTAAATTAGTACCACTATGACATTCTGGACGAAAGGCGTTCCTTGAGCTGTGCTAGCATACCTCAAAAAACAAATGTGCTTTCAAATACAGTTCTCAATGTTTTTTTATTTACTTTATTTATATATGATTCTCTGTTTTTCAGGCTTAGTACCAGGTGGGATACCAGGTTTTGTACCAGGCGTGATACCAGGCAAGGGACCAGGTGTGGTGCCAGGTGTTATCCCAGGTGTGGTTCCAGGCGGGGCACCCATTGCAGTACCAGGAGGATATTTACCAGCAGCCAAAGCTGCTAAATATGGTATGTTGTGTAAGTGGTATTACAATGTGCCCATTTTTCAACACAAGTGTATGCTACATTATGACCTCTAAAATTTGTACAGGTCCTCAAGAGTACAACCCAATGTGGAGTAAATAAAAAATCGTAATATTCCCTTTGCATGATTTTGTTTAAAGATGTTTGCTAATTTTTCATTTACAAAGAGGTATAAATTGTGGAATAAAATGCTAAATGACCTGTTTTATCACTCATGTTAATTCCGTATGAAGCTTATGTAGTTTATGTACTTTGCTTTAACCTAGAATACAGAGATAGAGCCTCCTGTAATCTCCTGGTTCCCTTCTAGACACCACTCTTCTTCTTAGATGAGCTCCATTATTTTTGGGTTGACTTTAGAGTATTATATAATTATAATAGCATCATGGTGAGTCAACCAGTATATTATGCTATTTAATTTCAGTCTACAAAATAACATTATGAGAGCAGTCACAACATTCTCATGTTGTATAATATGAAAGTTCAAGAAATTATTCTTTTTTAAATTATACTTCTCTATGTAGATGCACTGCTCTACAAAATCACCCCAGTTTCTAGAGTAATTAATTCTTTCCAAATAGAGCAAATCACTTCATTTGGTAGTGGTAGGTGTACGTAGGTGGCTCTTACAGGATAGATCCTACAGCTTATTTTTCCATTATTTTAATTACTTCTCCATACCCGTTGATAGAGAACTTACCATACAGTCAGTCATATCTTTTTATTTTCAATCATGTTTAAACATGTTTTCCACAGGACCAGGAGGACTGGGAGGAGCAGGACTGGGAGGAGGAGGAGCAGGACTGGGAGGAGCAGGAGGATACCCTGCTGCCGCCGCCAAAGCTGCTAAATATGGTAATAATAGATTACTATTAGCAATGTGTGGTCTCAGAACGTTTTATATGGTTCCTGGACACTGCTCTTCAAAATCACTCCATTTTCTAGTCTAATTAATTCTTTCCAAATAGAGCGAGTCACTTCATTTGGTAAAGAACCTTATTTCTTTTTCATACCGCATTATATTTGGTGGAAAAAATATTGAATGTCACTTTTTAAAGATTGTACTAAAGCAAAATTTAAATTAAAATCTGAAACACCAGTATTTCTTGTATTTCTTCTTCCTCACTTACTGTACTTGATTAATTAAAAGTTATGTCTGCTTTTGTTTGTGGATAGTAAAAAGGTTTTTTATGCCGTAACACATATCTGCTCTGTAAATCGCATATTCCAGAAACTGAAAGAGAGGAATCCTCAATTTCTATTTTTGGTTTCATGTTGGTACAACCTATGTTTTCATTATTTTCATTACTTCTCCATACACATTGATAGAGAACTTACCATACAGCCAGTCATATGTCTTTATTTTCAACCATGTTGTTTAAACTTGTTTTCCACAGGACCAGGAGGGCTGGGAGGAGCAGGACTGGGAGGAGGAGGAGGAGGACTGGGAGGAGGAGGAGCAGGACTGGGAGGAGCAGGAGGATACCCTGCTGCCGCCGCCAAAGCTGCTAAATATGGTAATAATAGATTACTATTAGCAATGTGTGGTCTCAGAACGTTTTATATGGTTCCTGGACACTGCTCTTCAAAATCACTCCATTTTCTAGTCTAATTAATTCTTTCCAAATAGAGCGAGTCACTTCATTTGGTAAAGAACCTTATTTCTTTTTCATACCGCATTATATTTGGTGGAAAAAATATTGAATGTCACTTTTTAAAGATTGTACTAAAGCAAAATTTAAATTAAAATCTGAAACACCAGTATTTCTTGTATTTCTTCTTCCTCACTTACTGTACTTGATTAATTAAAAGTTATGTCTGCTTTTGTTTGTGGATAGTAAAAAGGTTTTTTATGCCGTAACACATATCTGCTCTGTAAATCGCATATTCCAGAAACTGAAAGAGAGGAATCCTCAATTTCTATTTTTGGTTTCATGTTGGTACAACCTATGTTTTCATTATTTTCATTACTTCTCCATACACATTGATAGAGAACTTACCATACAGCCAGTCATATGTCTTTATTTTCAACCATGTTGTTTAAACTTGTTTTCCACAGGACCAGGAGGGCTGGGAGGAGCAGGACTGGGAGGAGGAGGAGGAGGACTGGGAGGAGGAGGAGCAGGACTGGGAGGAGCAGGAGGATACCCTGCTGCCGCCGCCAAAGCTGCTAAATATGGTAATAATAGATTACTATTAGCAATGTGTGGTCTCAGAACGTTTTATATGGTTCCTGGACACTGCTCTTCAAAATCACTCCATTTTCTAGTCTAATTAATTCTTTCCAAATAGAGCGAGTCACTTCATTTGGTAAAGAACCTTATTTCTTTTTCATACCGCATTATATTTGGTGGAAAAAATATTGAATGTCACTTTTTAAAGATTGTACTAAAGCAAAATTTAAATTAAAATCTGAAACACCAGTATTTCTTGTATTTCTTCTTCCTCACTTACTGTACTTGATTAATTAAAAGTTATGTCTGCTTTTGTTTGTGGATAGTAAAAAGGTTTTTTATGCCGTAACACATATCTGCTCTGTAAATCGCATATTCCAGAAACTGAAAGAGAGGAATCCTCAATTTCTATTTTTGGTTTCATGTTGGTACAACCTATGTTTTCATTATTTTCATTACTTCTCCATACACATTGATAGAGAACTTACCATACAGCCAGTCATATGTCTTTATTTTCAACCATGTTGTTTAAACTTGTTTTCCACAGGACCAGGAGGGCTGGGAGGAGCAGGACTGGGAGGAGGAGGAGGAGGACTGGGAGGAGGAGGAGCAGGACTGGGAGGAGCAGGAGGATACCCTGCTGCCGCCGCCAAAGCTGCTAAATATGGTAATAATAGATTACTATTAGCAATGTGTGGTCTCAGAACGTTTTATATGGTTCCTGGACACTGCTCTTCAAAATCACTCCATTTTCTAGTCTAATTAATTCTTTCCAAATAGAGCGAGTCACTTCATTTGGTAAAGAACCTTATTTCTTTTTCATACCGCATTATATTTGGTGGAAAAAATATTGAATGTCACTTTTTAAAGATTGTACTAAAGCAAAATTTAAATTAAAATCTGAAACACCAGTATTTCTTGTATTTCTTCTTCCTCACTTACTGTACTTGATTAATTAAAAGTTATGTCTGCTTTTGTTTGTGGATAGTAAAAAGGTTTTTTATGCCGTAACACATATCTGCTCTGTAAATCGCATATTCCAGAAACTGAAAGAGAGGAATCCTCAATTTCTATTTTTGGTTTCATGTTGGTACAACCTATGTTTTCATTATTTTCATTACTTCTCCATACACATTGATAGAGAACTTACCATACAGCCAGTCATATGTCTTTATTTTCAACCATGTTGTTTAAACTTGTTTTCCACAGGACCAGGAGGGCTGGGAGGAGCAGGACTGGGAGGAGCAGGACTGGGAGGAGCAGGAGGCCTGGGAGGAGGAGGAGGACTGGGAGGAGCAGGAGGATACCCTGCTGCTGCCAAAGCTGCTAAATATGGTAATAATAGATTACTATTAGCAATGTGTGGTCTCAGAACGTTTTATATGGTTCCTGGACACTGCTCTACAAAGTCACTCCAGCTTCTAGTGTAATTAGTTCTTTCCAAATAGAGTGAGTAAATTCATTTGGTAAAGATCCTTGTTTTGTTTTATTGTGTTATATTTTGTGGAAAAATATTGAATGTCACTTTTTCCTAAGATTGTACTAAAGCAAAAGTTAAATTAAAATCTGAAACACAAGTATTTCTTCTTCCTTACCTACTGTAGGTGGCTCTTACAGGATAGATCCTGAGCTCACTGACATTACTGTACTAGATTACTTAAAGGTTATGTCAGTTTTTGTTTTTGGACAGTAAAAAGTTTTTGTCTGCCGCAACACATATCTGTTCTGTAAATCGCATATTCCAGAAACCGAAAGAGAAAAATTTACTGTTTTCTATTGTTGTTTTCATGTTGGCTCAGCCTATTTTTTCATTATTTTCATTACTTCTCCATACACATTGATAGAGAACTTACCATACAGCCAGTCATATATCTTTATTTTCAACCATGTTGTTTAGTCACTCGTGTTAATTCCGGAATGTGATAATGAAGTTTATGTAGTTAACCTAGAATACAGAGATAGAGCCTCCTGTAATCTCCTGGTTCCCTTCTAGACACCACTCGTCTTCTTAGATGAGCTCCATTATTTTTGGGTTGACTTTAGAGTATTATATAATTATAATGGCATCATGGTGAGTCAACCAGTATATTAAGCTATTTAATTTCTGTCTACAAAATAACATTATAAGAGCAGTCACAACATTCTCATGTTGTATAATATGAAAGTTCAAGAAATTATTCTTTTTTAAATTATACTTCTCTATGTAGATGCACTGCTCTACAAAATCACCCCAGTTTCTAGAGTAATTAATTCTTTCCAAATAGAGCAAATCACTTCATTTGGTAGTGGTAGGTGTACGTAGGTGGCTCTTACAGGATAGATCCTACAGCTTATTTTTCCATTATTTTAATTACTTCTCCATACCCGTTGATAGAGAACTTACCATACAGTCAGTCATATCTTTTTATTTTCAATCATGTTTAAACATGTTTTCCACAGGACCAGGAGGACTGGGAGGAGCAGGACTGGGAGGAGGAGGAGCAGGACTGGGAGGAGCAGGAGGATACCCTGCTGCCGCCGCCAAAGCTGCTAAATATGGTAATAATAGATTACTATTAGCAATGTGTGGTCTCAGAACGTTTTATATGGTTCCTGGACACTGCTCTTCAAAATCACTCCATTTTCTAGTCTAATTAATTCTTTCCAAATAGAGCGAGTCACTTCATTTGGTAAAGAACCTTATTTCTTTTTCATACCGCATTATATTTGGTGGAAAAAATATTGAATGTCACTTTTTAAAGATTGTACTAAAGCAAAATTTAAATTAAAATCTGAAACACCAGTATTTCTTGTATTTCTTCTTCCTCACTTACTGTACTTGATTAATTAAAAGTTATGTCTGCTTTTGTTTGTGGATAGTAAAAAGGTTTTTTATGCCGTAACACATATCTGCTCTGTAAATCGCATATTCCAGAAACTGAAAGAGAGGAATCCTCAATTTCTATTTTTGGTTTCATGTTGGTACAACCTATGTTTTCATTATTTTCATTACTTCTCCATACACATTGATAGAGAACTTACCATACAGCCAGTCATATGTCTTTATTTTCAACCATGTTGTTTAAACTTGTTTTCCACAGGACCAGGAGGGCTGGGAGGAGCAGGACTGGGAGGAGCAGGACTGGGAGGAGCAGGAGGCCTGGGAGGAGGAGGAGGACTGGGAGGAGCAGGAGGATACCCTGCTGCTGCCAAAGCTGCTAAATATGGTAATAATAGATTACTATTAGGAAATCTCAGAACTTTTTATGTGGTTCCTGGACATTTAGCAGCAGTGCCCAGGGATGTGTGAGACCGAGACCAGGTTGTGAGCCATAAAAGAGATTTGAAAGGGCCTGACATTGAATGTTGAATACAGAGGGCTTGAGATCACAAGAAATTGTCAGGTTAATATTTTTCTTAGAGCTTTAAAACACCCAGCATCTCAACAGGCTTTACAATGACTGGAACCCTGGTACTTAACCACTAAGGCTCAACTTCTTCTTAGATGAGCTCCATTATTTTTGGGTTGCCTACATTGATGGAAGAGTATTGTATAATTGAGTATTGAAGAGTATTATATAATTCCACACGCTGGAGGGACTATGTCTCTCGGCTGGCCTGGGAACGCCTTGGCATTCCCCCGGAGGAGCTGGAGGAAGTGTCTGGAGAGAGGGAAGTCTGGGCATCTCTGCTTAGACTGCTGCCCCCGCAACCCGGTCCCGGATAAGCGGAAGAAAATGGATGGATATTATATAATTATAATGGCATTATGGTGAGTCAACCAGTATATTAAGCTATTTCATTTCTGTCTACAAAATATCATGAGAGTAGTCACAGCATTGTCATGTTTTTGTGTTTGATGCACTGAAATGATTTGTATAGCATGAAAGTTCAAGAAAGGATTCTTTTTCAATTTTATTTCTCTATGCTCTACAAAATCACCCCAGTTTCTAGTGTAATTAATTCTTTCCAAATAGAGTAAGTCTGTTATGTGTGAGTGTGGTGTGGACCCCAGTAACAGACAGACCAGGAGGAGTAGGAGCTAAAAAAATTGGTTTAATGAACAACAACACAGGTAAGGCTGGGTGGTAGGAAGACGAGGCCCCAGAGAGGAGACCAGGAGGGATGAGGCAGGAACCCAAGACAGACCAGGAGGAACCAAGAGGGACGAGGGAGGAGACCAGCGAGGACCAGGAGGGATGAGCAGGAGACCAGGAGGGACAGAGGAACCAGAGGATGAGCACTAAAGCTGGCAGCAGGAGAGACACAGGAACCAGAGGACAAGCAGGAGAGCCGGCAGCAGGGGAGACACAGGAACCAGAGAATGAGCAGGGGAGCTGACATCAGGAGGGACACAGGAACCAGAGGATGAGCAGGAGAGCTGGCAGCGGGGGGGACACAGGAACCAGAAGACAAGCAGGTAAGCAAAGCAGGCAGCAGCCAGGAGGACCAGGATGACAGGTGAGTCGACGGACGAGTACACAGGGTCGTGGAAGTAGTCAGACACACAGGGTAGCAGTATCAGCAATCAGAAAACTGAAAGATGATGAGCCAAGGGCTTACGCACTTAACCAACAGAAACAGCGAGCTTGATGATTGACCCGCTGCTGCGTTATCAGAGCTGCTGACATGCTGAAACAAACAGGAACAGGACGGGAACACGGAGTCGAACAGATGGAAAGCTCAGGACACAAACACATGTAATGCTAACCGGGTAGTGTAGCGTAAATGTATCGTAGCATAAAGGTAAGGTAACAGTGTGGTATGAACCAGCAAAAACGCGGCAGAAGACAGGGTGTGTATATATACCTGAAGGGACTGGGAGACAACGAGCAGCAGGTGGGAGGAATGATGACTGATTGCAGAGAAAAACCACAAGGGACAGGACTGGGAGATAACAAGCAACAGGTGACTGACATGGCAACTAATTGCGGTGACAGAGTAGCGGGGAGAGAACAGGTAAACAAACAAAGCCGACCGACACGACACCGTAACAGTACCTCCCCTCAAGGATGGCTGCCAGACATCCCAAAAAACAAAAAACCACAACAGGGCTGAACAGAGAGGGAGGCAGGGGCCCGGAAGGAGGGCACCAAAACAAACAGACAGCCACAGGCCGGGAACACTGAGGCCACACAGCAAAACTGAAAACACAGGATGACCGGCCAACAAACACCGGACTGTGTACATAGTCCAATCAAAGAAAAACGACCCAAGTTGCAGGAACCAACCCGCATAAGGCCGAGAACCAGAGCGGTCGGTCTGGAGGACGGCCTCGACGCCAGACAAGGGTTGAGGAGAGGCCGCTCCGGAGGGCGACTCCAATGCAGTCCACCAGGCACCGGAACAAAGGTGGCATCAGCACACTGGCCAACCCGCTCGGGCGCAGGAACTGCAACAGGAACTGAGGCAGCGTGGGCACACCGGCCGAGCCGTTCTGGAGCAGGAAGCAGGGCGGCCGCATCGGCGAACCCCTCTGGAGCAGGAAGCAGGTCATTGGCAAACCCCTCTGGAGCCGGAAGCAGGTCATTGGCAAACCCCTCTGGAGCCGGAAGCAGGTCATTGGTAAACCCCTCTGGAGCCGGAAGCAGGGCATCAGCATCGGCGAACCCCCACACTGACTGGCTCGGGCCCTGGCGGGGACATCTTTGTCGGCACACCAGGGTTTCAGGGAGTCAGCGGGGACACTACCATGCCCAGGCCGGAGGGCCTGTGGAGACTGCATCTCTGGGACTGACTGAGGCGGCCGCTGACGGGGTGCTGGAACTGGGGTGGCGTCGGCATGCTGACTGTTTTGGGCCCTGGGGGGACACCATCGTCAGCACACCGGGGGTACGGGGAGTCAGCAGGGATGCCACTGTGACCAGACCGGGGAGCCAGCAGGGGCTGAGGCTGCAGTGGGGAAACAGGCCGGGGCACAGAAGGCAGCTGCAGGTGCCAGGGAGCTGGCTGAGGCAGCCGGCTGATCCATTTGGGACCAGGTACTAGAACTGTGGTGGCGTCGGCATACTGAGTATATGGGGCCCTGGCCGGGACACTATCGTCGGCACACCAGGGGTACGGGTGAGTCAGCAGGGCCGTGACTATGACCAGACCGGGGAGCTGGCAGGGGTAGGCATGACAGGGCCAACTGGGCGAAAGGAAGTGGCTGAGGGGCTGGCTGAGGATTGTCCTGGAGGCTTGATGAACCAGGGTGGCACAGATTTTGTTTGGCTAGGTCCTGCTCCTTGACCATAGCCACAAAGGAGCCATCAGCCCAGCACTTGTCTGCATAGGCATCTATGTCCTTCTGGGTGTCCCCCACAAACTACACCAAGGCCTGCAGCAACGGGGAATCCCTTGGCCAGGGTCGACTGAACATCAAGCCCCGCAGTCTGTCCAGGATAGCAAAATGCTCCGGCAGGTTCTTTGTCCGAAGTATTTGCAGAGACAGGCTGGTGATCAGTGGTTTAAGGACCTTCCACTCCCAGGTGTTGTCCACAGACGAGGACCCAGGAGGACCAGGGCGGCAGGAAGACGAGGACCCAGGGAGGAGACCAGGAGGGATGAGGCAGGAAACCAAGACAGACCAGGAGGAACCAAGAGGGACGAGGCAGGAACCCAAGACAGACCAGGAGGAACCAAGAGGGATGAGGCAAGAACCCAAGACAGACCAGGAGTAACCAAGAGGGACGAGCAGGAGACCAGAGAGGACCGGGAGGGATGAGCAGGAGACCAGAGAGGACCAGGAGGGACGAGCAGGAAACCAGAGAGGACCGGGAGGGACAAGGAACCAGGAGGGATGCAGAAACCAGAGGATGAGCATGAGAGCTGGCAGCAGGGGAGACACAGGAACCAGAGGATGAGCAGGGGAGCCGACACCAGGAGGGGCACCACAGGAACCAGAAGACAAGCAGGTAAGCAGGCAGCAGCCAGGAGGACCAGGATGACAGGTGAGTCGACGGATGAGTACACAGGGTCGTGGAAGTAGTCAGACACACAGAGCTGCTGACATGCGGAAACAAACAGGAATAGGACAGGAACACGGAGTCGAACAGATGGAAAGCTCAGGACATAAACACATGTAATGCTAACCGGGTAGCGTAGCGTAAACGGTTACCGCTGTTTTTCTGCAAAATGCCGCGCTGTTCTGGCCAATGTGGGATGGGGGGAGGAACAGGTGCGGGAGGGTATAAAAGGGATGACAGGTGGGCATGTTGGTTTGGTTCTGTTGGCGGGTGATGGTGAAGTTCTGGGAGATGTGTTGTTTATTCTTTTATTATTTTTTTTAGAGAGCACATGGTGCCAGTTCGGACAGCGTTTTCATTTGTCTCCATACTGCGTTCAATAAAACCACAAAAGACAAACCAGGTGTTCTCCTCCTTGTTGAGCCAGGTGCCGGCACACTGCTGGCTAGTTAACTGTCAAGTATTGGACAGGGTCAGGCCAGCTCCTCTCAACTGAGCCAGCAGTCATCACTGTAGGTGGCTATTACAGGATGAGCTCACTGACATTACTGTACTTGATTACTTAAAGCTTATGTCTGTTTTTGTTTGTGGACAGTAAAAAGGTTTTTTCTGCCGCAACACATATCTGCTCTGTAAATCGCATATTCCAGAAACTGAAAGAGAGAAATTTTCTGTAATATTTTTGTTTTCATGTTGGTACAGCCTATTTTTTTTCATTATTTTCATTACTTCTCCATACACATTGATAGAGAACTTACCATACAGCCAGTCATATGTCTTTATTTTCAACCATGTTGTTTAAACTTGTTTTCCACAGGACCAGGAGGACTGGGAGGAGCAGGACTGGGAGGAGCAGGACTGGGAGGAGCAGGAGGCCTGGGAGGAGGAGGAGGACTGGGAGGAGCAGGAGGACACCCTGCTGCTGCCAAAGCTGCTAAATATGGTAATAATAGATTACTATTAGCAAATCTCAGAACTTTGTATGTGGTTCCTGAACATTTAGCAGCAGTGCCCAGGGATGTGTGAGACCGAGACCAGATTGTGGGCCATAAAAAAGATTTGAAAGGGCCTGACATTGAATGTTGAATACAGAGGGCTTGAGATCACAAGAAATTATCAGGTTAATATTTTCTTAGAACTTTAAAACACCCAGCATCTCAACAGACTTTACAATGACAGGACCCCTGGTACTTAACCACTAAGGCTTAAATAGATCCTGTGTGATAACACTTTCAGATGCAAAGCTAGTGAAATGAAAGTGTGCATGTTTTTACATGGTACGATACCACATAAAAAGGGGACGGCTTACTTTGGCTGCATGGCACATTTATGGTACAAACAGTCTGTGTATGGTCTGTGTCAGGTTAAAGGAGCCAGGAATATGTGTTAATTGTTTTCAATAAATTGCTAAAGTCAACTCAACTCCACATGGCTAAATATGGTAACTGGACTAAGATGTTTGGAAAAAAATATTGCGGACCAGATCCTTTGCAATTAAGCAGTGCTTTAAATGACTGTACATGGTTACATGATTAGTTTTGTATTGCAGGGCTTATTCCAGGTGGTGGTGGTACAGGAGGAGCTGTTCCTGGAAGAGTTCCATTTTTACCAGGATATGGATGTAAGGCTGCCCCACCGACTTTTGATCATGTCAAGTGATGAAAGACTTATTTAATTATTTTGGCAAAACCGCATGATGACTATTTAATCTAAGATATTCTGGGTATGTTTTGTTGTAGCTCTGGCAGCTGCTGGTGCCAAACCTCCTAAATACGGTGAGACAGCGATTTACCAGTATAATGAGCATGTCATAAGATGTAGTCACTCTTGTTCTTTATGCAGCAGTTATCTGCTCACTGATGCATAAATAATGTTACAATCACTTGTCATAAATGCATTAATTGGTTAATTTGGTAATGGCAGCGGCAGTAGCTGCAAATACATTCCAGGAACTGTAATCAATCATTCAGCACTTTTTTCACGCCCCGTCTGCAGTCCCAGGAGCAGGCACATTTCCAGGCGGAGCAGGACAGGTACAACCTGGTGGTGGTAAGTTTTTAAGTTGATATACTGATAGACATAAAAGTTCAACTTCAGATTAAGTTCTGCTGTTTCTTTCACAATAATTCAGTTTGATCTAATGAAGCATGGATCATAAACATTATGTTGCTTCCTGACAGGTTTTGGAGGTGGTGCTGGAGTCAAGCCTCCGAAGTATGGTAAGATTATCTTTGAGTAGTTTTTTTTATATTATTTTTACATATTTTGACTAATTTGAACAGTTATTTGAATCATGCTTGTTTTCTGCACCCCATGTTAATGTGATTAAGAATATAATAACACTGTACAGACAAAAGTGCAATTTTTCGCAGCATTGGTTTGAGTGCATGTGTACAATAAATGGTATTTTGTTAAAGCAGTTTCAGTATGACAAAAGCCCAGTGCAGTATGAGGCCTGAAGGAGGGAGAAGGAGCAATAACTGTAACAGTAACTATAAACAAAGGATGAAACCCACTGCATTTTGGTGGATTAGGAGTTATAGGAGTGGCTGGAGCAGGACCAGGGGGTGCAGGGGGAGTGGCTGGAGCAAGACCAGGGGGTCCTTGGCGAGTGCCTGGTGCAGTACCAGGAGCCGGAGCCGGAGGTGGACAATACCCTGCTGCCGCAAAAGCTGCAAAATATGGTATAATACATAAATAAGCACACAAATACAAATACCGCACATTCAATTTTTATTAATTACAAATCTATCCCCTTTTGTTTTACATCACTTTAACATTAATTACTGTACCCTAAACACACATAAACAATGCTGTTAAAGAAACTATTGTATTATTCCCAGACAACAGGACTTTTTCACTGTAGTAGGTGACAAACTTGGAAAGGCTGATGTTGAACTTTCTGAACACAGGAGGCATTGGTGTAGTAGGGGGCCTGCCAGGAGCCACTCCACACACAGCTGTTCAAGATGGTTTTGGTGTTGTGTTACCAGGTGGTACAGGGGTTCCTGTCAAACCAGGTAAACCTTAAAATATTGTTTCTTATCTCCTTAGATGAGCCTTTTTATAAGTTTTGCACTGTGAATTAAGCTTTCAATGCTTTTACAGGAAAGGACGTGATTCCTGCT